CTTGTCCAACCAAATCGGTGATCTTTTCTTTGTTTTCTCTTGCGAACTTCAAAAGATCTTTATTGTTTGGATTTCTTTCGGATACAGCCATTCTCCACACACGGAGCCATTCTTGGAAATTGTTTTGGGTTATTTGGAACCCGTCATATCGGGAAGGTTTGTTTTTTCCTCCCTCGGTATTGGGCCGTAGAACATTTGCAGAACATCGGACGAATATCTTGCGGCAGCCATGTCGGCGTATACACAGTGCATGCACTTCTTCAATAGGAAAATTTTTCTGGCGCACTTTTGTTTAAACTAGTGAAGGGCACATCCGCGCATATTGATTACGGACGTTGCAGCTTCGCTGGACCCACTATTTCGCCAAATTTTACTGCTGTTCTGTTGCGTTACACGCACATACAATTCTGGCGCAGCGCTCACGCAACACTTTGTCACACACACATTTCTGGCGCAGCACTCACGCAACACTTTGTCCTTGTCGCACACACACACATATATAGTGGGGGTTCTGGTCGCAAGCGAATGAACACAGTGTAAGCGTAACGCAACTCCGAATCTTCAGATGAGGAGTTGCGTTACGCTTACACTGTGTGCGTGAGCGCTGCGCCAGAACCCCCACTATATATGTGTGTGCTTGCAGCTTTTAAATTTTAAATCACCGCATTTAGATTAATCTGTTCAGTCTAAATAGACGGCTTTTTTTGGTTTTGTTTTCCCTAAGCCAAGTGCCAATCAACAAAGTTTCATTTATAGAAGTATTAGTATTATCGAGTCCAGTAAGATATCCCAATGAAACTTATATTAACAAACCGAAATCCTGTCACAAATATTTATTTCTTAGAGTTTCTCGTCAACTTCTACTGTTTTCTTCGTCAGTTGTTGTTTTTTTCTTTTTAACAGTCTATTTGACGAATTTGAGCCACAACCAATTAGGAAATGTTATGAGAGTCACGCCAGTGGAATAGGCGCCATCTTGATTTTGGATGACTCGGCCCCAAGCCTCAACGCGGTTTAGTCGCGTCAAAAAATCGGCTAGTGTGCGGCAAGCTGATGGCCCGATAAATTTTAACCCGAATTGACCCCGACAAAAAATACTGCAGTTCTACGACAAAATAGCGGCTAGTGTGCGGCTGCCTTTACTATCGGAAGTTCGATTCAAAACCCGCGATTTACCTTGTAAGCTTATTTTAAAATACTTCAAGTAAGAAATTCGAATTGCCTTTTCTTTTTAGTCTTGTTGTCGTTCACACTACGCTTCTTTTGTAGCCCATACAGTTCGACCAGTGTGAAATTTCTTCACAGATGGTATCCAGGTCAACCTACATGTACGATCGAGTAAATATACTCTGAAATATTTTAGTGATGGATGGACAAATTAAGTCCAAGAGACTGTATAGATATACTTTGTGCGAGAGAGATACTGTCCAATTGTGTCAAACATAAGCCGAACGCATGGTGCCTGGAGATGTATAGCTTGTTTTCGCTTGTAGAAATGAGAGATTTAAACACATTGAAATCAAAACTTGAAATAATTATGGAGATGAGAATGCTTGATACTTGTCAACATAAGTATGTTCTGTAATCATTGCAAAAAATCTATTGGAAGAGACATATCTGCACGCCTTTCGAATATTACTGACTTGCTAGTGAGATTAGCACAAACAATTACCAAGATATCTAGAAATAACATACCGTGATTTTTGTTTCCAAGAAAGAAAATTATTGTTATTTTCCTTGCATACACTACAATATTTAGTACCCTTATTATCGTATTGCACCAAGCTGGGTTTCTCCTTATAGTTGACTGAAGGTGCACTACTTCAGGCTGGAGGTATTATAAGACTTAACATGACACTGAGGGATTTCAAACATTAATTCAGATTATTTATCCAAGAAATAAGATCTAGTGGGCCAAATTAGGTTTGTGTAAGGGATTTCAAGCTACAAGCTACATGCATGTATATAAAAGGGAAACCTTTTCTGTCAAAAACATGAGGTCAACTAGATAGGGTTTTGACCTTGGTGCAAAGCCTCCTTGTAGAAAACTTTGTTACTTCCCTACCCCCTTCCCATGGATATAGCTATGTAGTAAAAAAAAAAAACTTATAAATTGCAAAACTGTTTGAAATGACTCTTATAATATTGAAGGAAATACTTTTTTCTATAGATTTCCCATTTACAAGCAAGCTAAAATCAAATTGTTTATGTTTGACATAGCTAAAAATAAGCAAGATTTTGCCACCAACCATGTCCCACATAATTGAAACTGGGCAAAATACTCTAAATTGATTGTCTAAAATAAATATCAAAATCATGTATTATAATTTTTGCATCATTGTTGTACAGCGGTTTCATAATGTTACTGGTCAAGGACCATAACCAATTTACCTTGACCCAAAATGCACTGCTGACTCACTAATAGTTGTATTATACATATATTATAACCAACACCAGTGACTTGGTGTCAATTTTGGACTGACTGGTAAATATGGTGAACTCTGATTTAATGATTTCATTTTGCAACAGACTGTTGTTATTCTTTGACACTACATCATGTACAAGTTAATATAATAACAATGTTCCAGTTTCAATCACAATTAATTATTATCCATTTTGAAATTTATAGGCAGTCTGTGTAAACATCCTGGCATTTGATTTTTGTATTTCTTGTCTATTTCGAGCAGTCTGGGTTCAAGTCCTGGTTGGGGACATTGTATTGTATTCTTGAGCAAGACACTTTACTCTGAGAGTGCCTCTCTCCATTCAGGTGTATAAATGGGTACTGGCTAATTTAATGTTGGGGGGGATGGGGCGGGGGGTAATCCTGCGATGGATTAGCATCCCATCCAGGGGGGTAGAAGAAATACTCCGCGCCAGCCCAACGGGCCATTTGCCTCGTATGTAGACTTCAATTCCACTTCCGAGTTGCCATACATATAGGTGACATACATATTCATACGAATAGTTTCGCACAAAGACTCATTTTGACACAAAGGCAAAAGTAAGCTTGGAATTGGCCTATTCTCCATGGCTAACTTAGGGAGCTTTTGATTTTGCTTCTCCAAACGTGGGCTGCGTAGCTACCCAATCCACTACCCATAAATTCGCCACTGCGGACTGTTTGCTGATCAATACATGCTATTAGCATATAGCAGTCATCGTTTCAAAAGGGCCAGTCAATCCTTCACCGCGGCTGCTCTAGCATACAGGTTCGACTGCATTATAAATTATTTTATTTTGTAGGTCTTCAGAGCTCGACCTGGAAAAACACTTTCCGTGCATTTTCGGTCGATTGCAGGAAGTGAATTTGAGCTAAATGTTACAGCTGGAAGTGCGCACAACAACACCATACTCATTAGGATTACAGATGAGTACAATGGAAAGACGGTAAAAACTGCTTCTAGTTCTGTCTTGGACATTTCTTTCTATTCTAAAGGCAATTCCAAAGTTCCTGCCAATCTGGAGATGATCATAGTGGAAGATCAAGGTACCTGTTAAATTTACAGAAGTAACTTCTCAATATAAACGCTGATCTCAGCAGATTGTAGATATACAATTTTATTATTATGTATCAACGACTGACCTACTTCATAGTTACACACGACGCTTTGATTTGCTCCGAATGTTTGAACTGTTTTTTTCTTTTTGTATAAACTGCTTTCTCCTGCTTCGTCTGTTGCTTCTATAGAACAAGTATGCGGTTGCAAAACAGCGAAATATTGTTTCAAATGGGCAACTCGGAGGGAAAAAGTATGGTAATTATGTAGGCGAAGAAAAACTGTCTTGTAAAAAGATACTCATTGTATTTTTATTAAACAGAGGTCGAAACTATATCAAGGTTTTTTTTATAAGATCATTTTTCGCGTATTTTTACTGTGGTGTTTGTTTTTATTTCTATTCAGAGTCGCCTCCATCCTTTCTAATATCAAACAGTACTTTCTCCAACAACTTTAAGACCGGAATTGCAGTATATGACCTGATGGGCTGTTTTCAAATTTTTAACACGGTGGCGTCGAAAAATGGTGGTGTTGGCCTACATATAAGCGGAGTACACGGGGGATTCCATGTCGTATCATCTGTGCTTGCTGATAACCAAAACCATGGCGCGCACATTGAAAACGTGTCAGGATCTTTGGTATTTAAAACTGTCACATCCTCGAAAAACCACCAATCAGGAATCGTAATCGAGTCAGGAACTTTATCTTTCTTAATGACTGACAGTCATGTGAACGAGAACTTGGGTGAAGGCTTATACATCTCAAACCCACTCGACTCTACTATAAATATCTCCAACACAAAGTTTCTTCGCAACAGCGGAGGCCAAGGAGTTTATTTCAAGGACTTCCGTGAAGATTGCCAGATTCTTCTTTCAGACATAACTTCACTTGGAAACTCACAGAACGGTGCTTTGTTTGAAAGAGTAAGAACCAAGAGTATGAACGTAACATCCTCCTCGTTTGACGGAAATACGTTACATGGCGTACATGTTAAAGAGGTTTTCACGGGTAGCGTTAATTTGCAGGAAATTTCCACATCTTACAATTTGAAAACAGGCCTGGTTTTCTACCAAGGAGTCAGCAGCATGAACATAGAATCGTGGTCTTCCATTGGTAACCAAATTGATGG